AAATTTTGAAATGGACATAATTCCTCTCTTGTCCAGTGTTGACTAACATCTACAAACCCTTCATGCGTATCTCCAGGAGCGGATCCATGACCTGGAAAATGTTTCAAGCAAGTATGTATACCCACCTTTTTGTGCGCTTTGATAAAAGCCTTAGCATAAAGAGCGACTTGTTCAACATCTGCACCATAGCTTCGGCCATAGCCATCGATAATAGGGGAACCACGCTTTAGGTCCACAACAGGACCGAAATTCCAATTTACACCAATGGATGCTAAAGACTGTGCCATCGTTGCATAAACAGAATCGGCTTCTTCAGGAGACATATTGTCAGAAATATCTTCCGCCTTTGGCGTTTCTATTCCCCCATTTTGGGAAGAAAAGCGTTGAACAGCGCCTCCTTCTTGATCAATAGTAACCAAAAGGGGGGCCAATTCTTCAGGCACAGCTTCTTGCAAAAATTCGACCAGCTCTCTTGTCTGAGATTGAGAAGAGATATTTTCTCGAAATAAAATAACTCCGCCTATAAATCCCTGCTCAATTTGATGCTTTAAAATTTGCGCCCAAGCATCTTCTGGTCGCTGTGCCTGAGGACATCCCATAATAACAAGTTGACCTAGGTGGTGGGGGTCAATCATCACATATTGTTCCTATTTAGAAGATTTCATATTATGGTGCAATCTTAGAAACTATGCTATAAGCATTCCATAAATAAGATTTTTTAAAAAAATTTAGAATTATGTTTTTTAGAAAAAAATGGAAATTTATTTTTACTCAAACCCTTAATTCATATCTTCATACATCATGAGCGCAGAGATCCGAGGTGAAATTCACTCTATTATTAAAACGAAACAGTCTCTTAAAGAGCTGGGGGCGAAATCCCTAAGCACCTATGAATTTACAGACATAATATTTATAGACCCCCCTGAAAAAGATCCTGGAGAATCATACTGGCGGATTCGTGCTTATCAAAAAACAAACTGGGATCAAAAGCCTGTAAACTTAACGTATAAAAAATCTGTTGAGGATCAGGAAGGCCCTATTTTACCGTGAATATAACTCTATAGAAGAGGCACAAAAAGATTTACCCAAGACCTGCATCAAATAACTAAAATTCCGCCGAACGGGAAATGAACTTCAATATAAGCGCTTCCACCTCTTTCTTGAGGGCATAGAAGGGCCTTACTTCCCTACACATTTAGAGGAGAAAATGATTTGAATGCATCTGAGACAGGCTTTAAAGAAGGATTTGAAAGCTTCTTTTCCCAACCG